TACGGCTTGTGGCGCACTGTTCACCGGTGTACAGTTCATGTTTGAATGGAGAGAGAATGAGAAGAGGAGGGGAATCAAGATGAAGTGTTAGACTTGGGGGGTCCACTTGATTGGTCGTGTGAGTAGATGCTATTCGCATCGCCTTTGTATTACTACTCTTAGTCCGCGACTATCGCCGAGCAAATATCACTCCAGAGTGACCTTGGAGATAGGTATTATGACCGTCCTCCTCCATCGACTCCTCCTGCTCACATGACGACACAACATCTTCTCTTATCTTCATCATTGAACTTCTTCGCATCATTCCACTCCTTCTCAGAAGCGTCCCACTCCTTCTCAGGAGCATCCAACTGCTTCGCAGCATCTTCCAACTGCTTATCGATCTTCTTGTTATGTCTCTCGACCTCCCTTTTCTGACTCTCGTACTCTAGCCTCTCGCGCTCTTTCTCACAGCACGTAACATCGCTTCCGTTCGAAGGAGTCGCACTACAGGCCGGAACTGTTCTCTTGATATCCCCGGTCTTGATCGTCGCCTTCGACCTTGTTCTGTCGGGATGTTTGACACGAATCGTAGTGCGACCGTTCTTGTACCTGGTGACGAAGGTATCACCGTCTTTGAGGCCAGCCCTTTCTACATAATGTTAGCATTCGCAAGTTCGCTGCGCCCTGACACGTATACCTGAAAGACTTACGGCTAAGATATCCAACGAGCGACATAAGTCGGTGGCTCAGTGCGTCTACCGCTGCTCGCTGGCTTGCACGTCGCAAACCTCCAACGACGGTATCGCCGTGGAACACAGCGCCATCATTGACTGCAATAACTGCTTGGCCAGCCTCACGGTATTTAGCGATAAGGAGGGCCCTAAATCCCTTTTCGCATGTGCATGTTGGAAGGATGATAATCTTGTACTGATGCTCATGGCCGTAGAGGAAAGAAGCGTTCTCTGTTGGTAGAGCTCTGTTAGCCAACTGCACAGCGATGTGGGCACGAGTAACTTACCGTTTATGCTCTGCGCTGCGTCCATAACTGCGGTGAGTGAGGACGTGGATGTGTGCTTCACGCAAAATACGATGCATGGTTTATTGTGCGATGTCGCGTTAAGCGTACCGAACTCAAACAAGTTCACGTGTCATGATAGGAGGGGTCATGATGTTGATGTTATGTCTGTAGAGACTGGGAGTACCAGATTTCTGGGTGGATTCATGATACCTACATTTGATGTCTACGGCGAATTGCAAGACTGCTGCAGCATCCCGGCCAAATTGAGATGCTCAAGATGTGTAAAAACATGAAGACAGGAAATATGTGTCCACAGAATAGTTGTGGCGTTGTCGGAGTAGAGTGAATGCTTGTGTGGGTTAGCCAAAAAGGCAAAAAGAAAAGTGCAAAAACAGAGTTTCGAACCCACGAAGGGTGAGGTGTTTCCAAAGATTGAGTAAGTGCAGTGTTGTGCGGGACTCGCGGTCACTTCTGGTAAAAGGCAAGAAATGAGTTCGTACAAATCCTCGCACTGCACATTGATACTCCTAAAATATTAGCTATATATACTGAGCAAAGGTTGCTGGTGATGTTGGTGGATCCAGCGCACTTGCTAGACGAAGCGAGGGCCAGTGCGGGAGGCGAAACCCGCGGTCGGCGACAGAGAGGGGAGCGCTGGCCGTGCGCTGTTGCCTGTGCGGCTTCTGCTCGACTCGTGCTTTCTTTCGCGCTCTTGTCGCGATAAACGGTCCTGGATTTGCACGTCTCGCTTCTGTGGGAGGTATTGAAGAAGAGTGTAGTAGGTGAGTGAGCGAAAGCCCCGCGCCTGAGTTCAAAGGGGTCAGCCTGGAGGCTTGTGGCACACGTGCCCCGCATCAGGGCGGCGGCCTGCAGGCTGCGGGCCTCCTTTTTGTCTCCAGCCAAGCTCACTTCGTCTACAATACTATTACCTGTAAAGTCCTACGACATTTGCGACGCTTCTCTGAAGCTGCATGCGTGGCTTACTATGCGCGCATTTCGCAATCTTCGCTCAATTCGTGAGAGACGTCGTCGAAGGCCGTCGTCTCCAGCTGGTTTCAAGTGAGTAGCATCCTCTAGGCTAAAGACCTGTTGACCCTTCGTTTCTTCTTGGAGTCGCATCTCTCTTTTGAAAGTCCCGGCATACTTAGCACGTCGGGCGCGCCTTGTGGACGCTTGATCTGAACTGCCATGCGTTCGTCTCACTCTGTGTTTCTACTCACACACGAACATTATGCGTACCCAGGTATGTTTCCCCTCTCAGTGTTATCGTTCGAGTCATCATGCATTTCGTCGTGTCCCTTTCTTTCGCTTCGGTTTCCTTTCTTCACTTTCAAACTGCTATCATTCCAAATTTGCGCTCCTTGATCTTCTACAAAACTTTGCAGCGCTGGGGCTGGTGTCAACTTAGTTGCCTCGCAAAATATGGACAACATTTATCACACGCTATATGTCAATAGATGCTGCCTTCGATCAAACATATTGCACCTGTTGCATTGAGACTAAAGCTATTGTAATTGCATCCGTACACCGGCCTGCAAACGATCGGCCAATATGGTGACTTGGATTGACCTATCTTTCTCAAGAACCAGCGGTGGGTTTCTGGCAAGAGCTTTCCAATCCACTCATACAGTCATGAGCTTGTGCAGGTCTACAGATCACTTGGCTTCTCCGCGTTTACAGTCCTCAGTACTCTTGGTCTTGAGAAGCTATGTGCCTAGCCAACGAACTCCTAGTTGTGTTGTCTGCTCCTACCTACATTGTTTCCTTCTCCACTTCGTTCTAGTCGTCCAAATGTTTGTGGCCCAGCGCCTGGGGCAGGTTGAGGTTTCAGTTCATGCTCCTTATCATAACCTGGGGTTGGCGTTTCATCCCTCATCGTGTGTCTTAAGGCAGTTGCGACCACGAAATTTGGACCCTGCAGGACGATCCATGAATACCTTCGCCGTTCGTCGCGATTGCCCAAACGGCGTCGCCTAAGGCCCAGAAGGCGCTAGCGCAGGTAAAGGTACCACAACAGCGCAACAATACCAAGTCGTCAACGCCGACCGCGCTTCCTCTTCAACGCCGATTACAGTCCCTACAGTCTCTGTTGGTTCCCAGCTTCCCTAAACTGACCCAGTCGGTCTTTCCTTCTTTTCAGCTGCAGGCAGTCATTCACTCATTTCTCGCACCTATACATCCACTGCGCTGCACGGCTTCACCCAAACAACCCACAACATTCCCACACACAGCACCTTTACGTTGTATACCCAGCTTAAACATCCCATAACACTCGCTTCATCATCACCATGAAGTCCATCGTTTTCGCGAGCGCTCTTACCGCCGCCGGCCTTCTAGTAAGCTCTGCGAGCGGACGTCCACTCAGTGAGTTACCGGAATTCTCTCCACTTGCGGCATACTGTGACGATAGTCTCGCCTGCTGCACTGAGTCTGCAGTCACATCGTTGCCTGTCTATGTTACATCGTTCACTAACAAGGTACAGATCATAAGCGCAAGATTGTCACCGAGGTAATCTACGTTACCGAAGTCATGGCTGAAGTTGCTGTCTTCGTCAATGACGCAGGCGCACCCTATTCAACTGCGACTTCGACAATCCTCACTTCACCTGTCACTGTGCCCTCAATCACAGCCGAGACGACATCGTCAACTGTCGAGCCTCCGCAGACTTCATCAGCCGTGCCAGAGCCGGCTCCCTTACCAACGTCTTCCACATCTGCTTCTCTGCTAGCAGAGCCTACGGCTGTCGACATTCAGGATGCGACCACGACACCGTCACCCTCACCCTCACCTGCGCCGCCAGCTCCTACTCAAGAGCCTCAGCCCCCGCAACTAGCGTCCCCGCCCGAGGACATCCCTGTCGACAAGGCCGCTGCTGGAACTCTACCTCTGGGTATAACTTGGGATGCGTACAGCAGCTCCGCCAACTGCAAGACCCCGGATGAAGTTGCTAGCGAATTCAGTAGCATGAAGGACTACAAAGTCATCCGCATCTATGGCATGGACTGCAATCAGATCCCACTTGCAATTCAGAACGCCCAGAAGAACGGCCAAAAGCTCATGGGTGGCGCGTATCTAGACCCCAGTGGCGGCGGCGAAGATCTCAGCCAGGTCATCAAAGCCTACAAGAGCGCCATTGATCAGTATGCCGGCGGCAATTGGGATGTTATCCAACTCTTCGCTGTCGAAAATGAGCGCGTCAACGAACGCAGAATGACATCTTCCCAAGTCGTCGACGCAATCGGCCAAGCACGCACCCAGCTACGAAGCGCCGGTTACAACGGACCTGTGGGCGCAGTCGAGACCGCTCCTGCTACGCTCGATAACCCTGCCATCTGCGGCGCCTCAGATGTGGTCATGGTCAATATCCACGCCTTCTTTGACCGGAACACCCAAGCTCAGGATGCTGGTACATTTGTCAAGAGTCAAGTCGAGCGTGTAAAAGCCGCCTGCAGTAACAAGCGCCTCATCGTCACTGAGTCCGGCTGGCCTCGCCAGGGTAATGCGAATGGTGCAGCCGTCCCCTCGCCCGAGAACCAACGTATCGCCCTCGACTCCCTCCGCGCGAGTTTCAATGGCGATCTGTTCTTCTTCAGTGCCTACGACTCGGAGTGGAAAGCCGACTCTGCGTCAACCTTCAACGCTGAGCGTTACTGGGGTGTACTCGACTAGCTATCCTGAAGGAAGCTACCACGTCTTTGGAATGATATCGCAGACTGCGTCTTGCGACATGCATCTTTCTTATTGCATCTCTCAACAAGCAGCTGTATACGTCCATCACTTCTGTCATTTTTCTTGCCGACGCACCCGCGGCCTAGTGCTGCGTAAGTGTGCGTGGAAGATCATTTCTGGTGTTACCATACTATGGGTATGATTACGAGATACGAGCATCATGTAACATAGATATCCAATTCTCAAATGAATGAATGCTTTTCATTACGATGACTTGACCCTAATCGCTTATGTGACTTTTGCCATCTCCTCTTCCTCATCGTGACATGTTCAGTATCCCAAGTCCGCAGCCGTCTCTTCCAACGCCTTGACAAGCCCATCCAACGTGCCTTTGATCAACCCCCCGTTCACTACAACCCTAAAGAACTTGCCCTTCTCGCCCGGCGCAAAGTCAATCATGAAGCCTCTGCTAATAAGCCTATTAGCAATCTCCGTCGTCGCCTTACTATTCGCGTCCGCGTCCTCTTTCAACTGCCCACCCTTTGCGTAATAGAAGCACACCTGCAGACACGGCAACGGCTCCGGGCTAATCGTCTTGAAATTGCCACTCTCCTTGAGTTTGCTCAAAAGATACTCCCCGTTCTCGTATCCACGAGCGACCAAATCGCTAAAGTGCTGCGGGCCGTAGTATTGCAGCGCAAGGAACATCTTCAAGCTATCGGCGCGCCGACCACATTGAGGTGTCAGATCAGCGAGGTCGTAAATATCCGCTGCGTCGGTACCAGGCGCGTTGTGGAAGAGGTAGCCCGCTGGCAGCGTGAGTGCGCGATAGAACGTGTTCATGTCGCGAGCAAGGAGGAAAGAACAAGTCATTGGTACGCCGAGCATCTTGTGCGGGTTGATAGCGATACTGTCCGCGAGTTCAGCGCCCTTGAGCCTCGATTCCCGGTACTTCTCGTTGAAGACCACGCTGCCGCCCCATGAGCCATCGATGTGGAACCAGAGATTCTGTTCCTTGCAGATCTTGCTGAGAGCAGGGAATGGGTCGAAAGAGCCCTGAACGGTTGTCCCGGCTGTTGCATTGAGGAAGAAGGGTGTTTCGCCGCGGTCTTTGCTTTCTTTTACGCAGCGTTCGAATTCAGACGGGATCATGCAGCCGCGGTCGTCGACGGGGACGGCGATGACGTTCTTGGAGCCGAGGCCGAAGAGGTTGGCGGCTTTTTCGACGGAGTAGTGGCCGTGGGCTGAGGTGAAGATGGTGAATTTGTGGGAGCCGTTGCCGTCGGTTTTGGTCTCGGGGTAGAGTGTGTTTCGCGCGATTACTATGGCGGAGCTGTTTGAGGCGCTGCCGCCGGGTTGCGAGATGCCTCCTGAGGTGGAGGTGGGGAGGCCGAATAGTGTTGCTAGGTACTTTGTCGTTCGCTTTTCGACCAGGGTTAGGACGGGTGAGACTTGGTAGACGTGTGACTGCTGTGTGTTAATGATGCCTCAAGTACAGAATATGAAGCAAGACATACGTTGGTGTTCAGTACGGCCAATACCAGTTCGCTGACCACTCCCACAGCATTCGTACTCGCATACAGCTTGTCCAAAAACCCTTGATCCCATGTGTTGACAGAGTACTTCAAGATACTCTCCACGAGCTTGACCAGGCCATCTTTACCGGTCTTACCATCGTTGATCTCCAGCTCTTCTTTGAGAATGGACTCTAGCTTCTTGGGCGGGTGGTGTTCTACTAACGCGGTTCTCGGCCCGCCACCTTCAATTTTCAGTCCATGGCCTGTGTGTTTTGTTGCCGCGTCTTCGTCGGCTGAGCGGATGAAGGGTATTATCAGCTCTTGGATAGAATCGAGAAGCTGGTTCTGCTGTTAACGGATGTCTCTACTGTATATTTAGATCCCTGTCTGGATCCGATAAATGAGAGGCGCGATGGGAGTTCAGGGACATGTCGGAACAATCGGAATGGCCTTCCGAGTCACTTACGTCTTTGACTTCCTCGGCGCGACGGAGGCTTTCACCCTCTTGTGGGGATGACATTGCGAGAAGCGTGTGTACGAACTATATTATGATAAGGCAGGAAGCTTTTATGGGGCCTTGAGTGCTCGTACTTCAGGGAATGATGAGTGTAGAAGTCACAAACACAAACAAAGATGGCCAAGTAGTCGGCGTTAGCGCCGAACAATTAGCAATGACGAACATGGAGTCATCGATTCTTTCTGCTCGGGGTACAAGCCACATTCCTAAAGCAAAACTGTTCTCATGCAAGTATGCCACTAAAAGGTATCTAGAGTCGTCGAATCAGAAAAATGCGTGACAGGCCCACCTAAGCCCTAAGCCCAGCTCGGAAAACGCCGTTAAACGATGCCTCATTCTCAGCGAACCGTGCTGACAAAAGAAATTCCTGTACATGATGTATAATGTGACTATTATTGCGCAACAAGGCTCTTGGCCTTGCTGCTGCTTCCGCTGCTGACACTGCTGTTTGTCGTGTGACTCCCCTTCTTCGGCTTTTTGCCGTCCTTGGCTTGTGAGGCTTTCGCAGCGGCATGCTTCTGCCTTGCCAACTCGATAGCTGTCAGATGTCTTCCCGCCCGATGGTTTTGTGGGGGTGTTGCGTCGCCGTTGGACTCGGGGAAGCTTTGGAATCCGTCATTGCCGGCGGTGTAGCGTGATTGTGTGACCCAGTCGCCGCGTTTGCGTTTGTAGAGATCCATGCGCCAATTTCGCCAGACCGCACGCCCGACGAAGGATTCGCGAAGCGAGTTCTCGTTCTCGGCCAACTCTTCCGCGATGCGCTCGCGGATGAAAGCGAGGCCAGCTGTACCGTGCCAGATGGCGTCGATGACATGGGATGCAGCAGGATCAAGTGCAAGTTCACCAATCTTGCCATAGAACTGTTGTATCATTTTTCGGCGAAAGATGACGGAAGCGTTCTTGGACATTAGGGCCGCTTGAAGCGTCCGTGACGCCGTAGAGTCGCGAGCGAGCTGAACGGCAAGTTCAGGGGACAGGTTGGCCAGAGAGTCAAAGACAAGTTGGCCGAGGGGCCCATCCACGGTCATCATGGTTTGTGCCAGGAGTGACCCGTGAACCTTCTCGGGTGAGTGCTCATGTTTAGCACGGGGCTTGCCATCTTCCTCACTGAGCTTGAGAATGCGTGTGACTTCGAAGCCGTTGGAGCCGGCGTATGCAGTCTCCAGTTGAGCCTTGATAGGCGAACAGTCGATGTCACGAGCGACGCATCGCTCGATCAGTGTCTTGATAACTCCCGTCCGACCGCGTTCTACCAAGCTGGGGATCTGATCCACTATTTGACGCATGGCTTCTTCTAGGTCGTCCTTGCCAAGTCTTTCCATGATCTTTCCGACGACATAGGCTGCGATCTCGTTGCGAGCCAGCGTACCCATACGTTCCTTGAAGAACTCTCCGTAAATGGACTTGAATACCTTTCCGGGCGCATTCTCGATGATGACTTCCAGTAGTCGGGAGCCAATGGTGTCGTACACAAGCCCGTTGATCAGGATGGCGCTTTCTGTTCCTTCCGCGATAGGATTGTCTGGGAGAAGTCGGTGGATGATGGACTTTTCGTCCTTGGCGCGCGACTTGCCGAAGTGGGAGAGCTCCAGCTTGAGCAGCAGTTGTAGAGTGGGGCTGCCGAGTGGGTGTGTGGTTAGGGTACGGAGGTAGTGCGACTCAATGCCCGAGACACTCTCGCTGATGACCTTTTCCAGGGCCTCGGAAAAGCTTTCGGGGACGGCCCTTTCTTCGAGTAGACGTTCCTGCTCCTTCTCTGCGCCTGAGACGGTGACCTTTTCCTTCTTCTTGCTCTGCATAGCCGACTTGTTCTGTTTTTCCAGCGGGGCGCCCGATAGAATGACGAGTAGTACTCTCAGTACGTGCGATGCATACTTGTCGGTCATTAGAAAACCCATGTAGCCCTCCAGCTCGCCCAGCGTGTACAGGAACAAATTCTCCATGGAGACGAGGACTTGGTCGGGGTCTGACGACGGGGGTGTTGCAAGCTTCTCCGGTTTGGTAGCAGTCTCTTGGGTGACGACAGGCGCAGCTTGTATGAAGAGGGCTTCGCAGCAGTGGGACGCAAATCGGTTCTGGACCAGGTTGAGGAAGCTGCGACGGGTTAGCAGGTTGAATGGGGAAGGAGCGATTCAGTACGCACTTTCCGCTGAACTTCTGGAACAGGCCCTTGAGCTGGTCGGGCGAGGAAAGCAGGATCAGGCGTTCGAGCAGGCGCGACGTCTGGCTGTTGGCGATTTTCAGTTCCTTCCCGTCGGCCTCCTTCCAGACGCTGGCGAGGAAGATGTCGCGGTCCTCAGAGCTCTCAAACTGGTTCAGCTCGAGCATCTCGTCGGCTTTCTTGAAGTACTCCTGCTCCTGCTCGTCGAGCATTCCGTAGAAGGGCGTCGCATCCGGGCGGGCGACGTCATGCTCGGGGACATGCTGGGCAGGGTTTTCGGCTTCGAGCTGGTCGATGTCCTCTTTCTTGAAGCGCTTTGCACTCGCATCGTCGTCCTGGTCCCGCTTGCGCTTCTTCTGGTCGTCGCGGCGGCCGCGCTTCTTGTGTTCCTTGGGCATGGCGGCTGGCGATGACGGCAGCGGCGCAACACAAAAAGTTTCGCAACTTCGGCTATTGGGCGGGGAGAGGTCTGCAGTGCGCACGCAGCAGTGCAGGGCAGGACAGGCAGTAAATAGACAGCGGCGGAACAGAACCGCCTGGGCCTTCTTTGCAGCGGTACAGAGGTTTGCAGGGCGTGGGTCACGGCAGTAGGTGGATTAAGGACGTTCTCCAATAGTGGCCTGACGCACGGTTGGATCTTGCTGGATCTGAGAATCGGCTGGGATGATCGATCGGTGGCGCAGGACGAGAATCGTGGGAGGGCGCACAGGCCGGCCACCGAGGCTCCAGCTGCCAGGGCGGGCGCCGACGTCGCCACACCAGGGCAGCCCGTACCGACGCGAAGTGCCTAGGCGCACTCCAACGCCCACCACCGCCCGTTGATCGTACGAGATGGACGACAACCAGACTCGCGTCGCCGACTACCTCGACGACAAGCTCCAGAATGCCGCTGACCTCGACGGCCTCGACGCCCTATTGGCCACGCTGAACTCGCAGCATGGGCTCCTCCGCCAGCAGCTCGACGACGCACAGCGCGACCTGCACACGGCCAAGGAAGCCTCGCATTCGCACCATGGCGACCTCACGCGCGCCGCCGACCGCTTCACCCACGAGCAGGCCGACATTGACCGCCGCCTGCTGGTCATCACCGCCTCCGAGACGAGCGACGAGGCCGTGCCCCGCTTCGAGCAGGTCCTCGACACGCTGCACCGCCTGGACGTCGCCAACGGATACGTGCAACTGCTGGCGGACGTCGACGTTCTGAGGTAGGACAGCCCCCGTGTCCGATACGGCCTCAGTCAGCTGATTCCGCGCAGCAAGCAAGCCCAGGCGCAGCTCCAGACGTCCAATGAAGCCGCCCTCGCGCCCTACAAGCAGCTGCGCGCACTGCACACCCGCCTCGTCAACCTGCAAGACGACGCCGAGGGCGCCGCGCCCCAGCTGCTCCACCACGTCAACACCATCGCCCAAGCCCTGCGCACCAAGATCCTCGACGCCTTCGCCCAAGACCTCGACCGCACCCTCAAGAAGATACACTGGCCCACGCCCAGGGCCGCCATACCCAGCCCGCTGCAGGAGGAATGGGAGACCGCCATCGTGAAGCTGCTCGATCTGCAGCTGCCCGAGCTGCAGGGCATGAGCTATGCCAGCGGGCCGGGCGACAAGGTCAAGCTCCCGCCCGTCCTCTTCCCCATCGAGGTGCTCGTGCAGCCGCTCGAGATGCGCTTCCGCTACCACTTCGACGGCGACAAGCCCACGAACCGCATTGATAGGCCCGAGTACTTTCTCTCGCACATTACCACGCTTTTGAACGACTACAGCGCATTCGTCAGTGACCATGTACAACCTGTCTTGCTGCGTCACTTCCGCGGCACCGATCTTGCGCTTAACCCCGTCTACATCGATGCCATGTCCGCCTTCATAACCGCCCTACTGCCCATGCTGCGCTCCAAGATTGGCTCGCTACTGCCCCAGGTCGCGGGCCAGCCCCAGCTGCTCAGCCACCTCATGCACGAGATAATGAGCTTTGACACGACCATCAGAGACACCTGGGGATATGACGGCGGCTATGGCGTCGACGGGTGGAAGGGCTTATCATGGGAGTTCCTTGTTCAGGGCGACTGGTTTGGCCGATGGCTGCAGGTCGAAAAAGACTGTACGTTGGCCCTTTACCCAACGGAGAAATGTCGGGTCGCTAACATCCGCAGTCGCTCTGTCTCGCTATCAGAACATCGTCGAGGCTCCAGACTTTGGTGATCTCGACTACGAGAGCGTCGATCCCAAAGCCACCAAGCCTACCAAGGGAGCGATCCGCGTGAACGACCTGCTCGAAACCATAACCGGCATGTCCTCGCCTACCCCTCCTTTCCAGATGCGTCGCTAATCAGCAATGCATTGCAGATCGATACAGACCCTTGACATCCTTCAGCCAGAAGCTCACCTTCCTGATTGACATACAGATTGCCATTTTCGACAAACTCCACGAAAGGCTGCAGAGCAATCTGGAAGCGTATCTCTCCATGACCACGTCACTGGGCCGCGCTATGGGCGGTGTGACCAAGGAGGAACAGGAGAAGCTGCTTGGCGTCGAGGGACTGGAGCGCCTTTGCAAGACGTATGGCAGTGCTGACTATCTCGAACGGGCCATGCGTGACTGGAGCGACGACGTGGTAGGCTCTCACTTGCATGATTTCTGTGTGACCCGAACTTCAGCTAACCCCTTTGTTCTGTAGTTCTTCCTCGATATCTGGGAAGGTCTACAAGATCGTGCTCGTGGCCAGACTAGCAATATTGGTACCATGAGCGTGGCCGACGTCGCGGAACGCACATCCAAGAACGTTGAAAGTGACGACGTCGATGGCGGTTCCCTCTTTGACGAGACGGCATCGTGGTACGCGCGCCT